AGCTAAGGCTGACCTCACACATGCGTGCTGGCCGCTACGACCTGCTTGAGCCAAAAGGCTACGGATTCCCCCAAGCAGGAAGGCAGCACACACCCGCCCCAAAAGCTCCAGGGCAAGAAGCGGCAGGAGCCTGGAGGGCGTGCAAATGTGCAAAATGGATGGAGCGGTCATCAACCGTCACAAGATTCGCTGAGTCTACTGTTCTACCGCCGCGCGCCAATCACCGGCTAGGAGCTGAGGCGCTCACCAACAGCAGCATGTTGAGACGCAATTGGCAAGCAGCTGATCCACACTGATTGGCCAGCGGTGGCTGTCTGGGCCTTTGCGCGTGCTGGAAAGTGAGCAGGTGACCTTATCCTAGGTCCTCCATTCAGCCTACATCTTTTGGTCCATGGAGTTGGGTGTGCGCACTGTGTGCACGAGTACGGACGCCACGTGGGCGGTGTGCCCAGGTCATCATGGAAAGGATGGAAACTCTGCATATTGGTGAGGGGAGCAAGAACAAAAAACCAGAGAACCAAAAAAAAAACAAAACCCAAAAACAACCCAAAAAACAAGCACCAGAAGACCCTAACAACCAGTGTGGGCAGAGTTTCGACTGTACTACGGTGAGACGTGTGAAACATGAGAGGAATGTTGCCATTCACCAGCCTTCGAGACAGAAAAGCCCTGCTAGCAACGTAACGCAGTGAGGGTGGGATGGCGAGTTCTGGTAGTGCAACACAGTTCACAACGCTTGGGACCTTTGGGCTCTCACTGCGTGAGCACCCTGGGGCAGTACCCTTTCCACCACAAAGGACATACACTCGGACGTTAGTGTTGACGCACGCCAAAAAGGCGGAGAACCCGCAGAAGCATGCAACACCACGAGTATACGTCTTTGTCCAATGTGGCCTGCAAAGGTTCCCACATGAGGAATTTCGGTAGGTTGGTTGTCTTCTCTACCTTATATCCTCCCCTTTACAGGGTGTGGTCCCAACGCAGCAGCTCGACCCTTGGTTTAGGGCCTTACTGTCGCCTGACTGTACATTAAGCCGGGGTCTTCTTTCTAGAACCCCGACCGCTCGGTGACCCAATCGATAGCGATCCCACCCCACCTATGACCCCCAAACCCGAAGGATAAACCTCACTGCCTGTATGCCAATTCGTGCGTTTGCCTAAGACAGTTCGCACCTCAGAAAAAGGTTCGCTGTGCGAGCACTCGTGGAGGGACAACAGCTTGTCAGGAAAAGCATGGAGCTTGATGAAGCCAACCAATTTTCAACACAAGCAAACCTTGTCTAACACACATCTGTGTCATTGATTACTGGTGGGATGGAATGGACAATGGACAGCGTAAAACTGCACAACAACAGCCCATAAAAGTTTATAACCTATAACTACAGTATACTTACAACCCATACACCCCAACCCAGCCATATAGCACAATGGCAACAACAATTACTCACCTCGTCTCAATAAAAACGATGATAGTGAACGATTTGGACAAAGATATCTTGGAACCATCTTGACATAAAACATCAACGACAAAGAACATGCGTTGGACTTCAACATAAATCCAAGAACGCAACATACAATGAAAATAGTCCTAAAACCATCCTTGTATCACTTGTTCTTTTTTTTGGGCCCGTTGATTAATCCGACGCCTGCATTACTATGCATGATTCGCGGTGTTTTTTTCAGATCAAGCACGTTTTGCAATCTGCCCCAGCACGACCTCAGATCCAAAAAATTATCACTTTTCCAAAGCGCCTTTGTAAACGCTCCATGCATTCGTTTGTGCCGATCCTCTGTAGCTGACCCAGCCAATATGGTATTGAGTTTGGTTTGCCTATCCCAGCATTGAACGTTTTGTCAACTGAAGTCCAAAAAACCCGGTTGGAAAATGTTCCTGTCGCAATCTACAGATGAGTGGTTGGAACATTACGCGGCTGCTTTCAAAACTGTGCAACGCTGTCATGTATATATAGTATATATGTGTGCGAATGTGCAGAAATTTGTGTGGGTCGGCATGCATTGTCGAGGTGCAAAGAAAAGAGGACCGACAAAATGCATCACGGAGTGTTTTTTTTTCTTGATCACGTTTTTTGCACCACACTTTTTTGGTGCACAAGCACATGATATGTACCTGCAGCTTGTTTACAGCAGCTTACACCAAGCATCGTTGCATGCAACATGGAACAAAAGTGCCCCATATTCTGTCACTTAGCCCGGTGTGGGAACAAAACAACGATGGTATTCAACGTACCCGGCAAATCAAGTGGCAAATGTTGTAGAAACCACGGGGGATCAACATACCCCCACACGCATGGTTTGAACCTTTTTCATGAGCAATCAAAACGATTTATATAGAACAATTTCTGATGTGAAGGAGTGAGGTCAGGGGTGTCCACGAATTCACAGTGTGTTTGATCACCACACGACTGTGGATCTTGGGATGATATTTTGATATGGCGGATCTTGGGGTGCCAGAGTCGGAAGTGCTGCATCTTGGCATGGTTATTCTCCCTTTGTGAGTTAGTGGTGTTCAACATTGCCCTCGTACTTGAGGATGTACGCGGGATGAGTTTGCGTCATCATTCTTCTACTTGAATGGTAAAGGTATGCACCCAATTTGCCAGGTTTGGATCCTTCCAAACCAACCGAAATTGCCACCAGGTCTTGCGAACATGCTTTTTTCCTTAGAACATGTTAAACAAAATGTAGACATTCTTGTGGGGGTGGCTGGCTGAGCCGTTGCTCCTGGGGTATGTGATGCCAAGGTCTTCATTCTTGGAAGTCTTCAAGACCCAATTTGCAGAGCTGCGGGTTCAATTGGTGCAGGAGGCAGTCAAATTGGTGCAATGTTGCATCGGTGGTCTGTGGGATTTGGGAGGTTCACAAAGCCAAGGTGTTTCGACAAAAGAAAGGGAGAAGTGCGTGAAAACAAGATAGTACTCGCAGGAGAACAATGGAGTTATTGTGTATATTGTGAAAGGATGTGAAAGGACTGGGCTCAAGAAGGGATCGAAATCTGATATCTAAGACGAAGGTAACGGCATTTTTAATGAGGCTCCCTTCAAGGCAGTCTCATTGAAGTGGCCCAAACATATTTTTGTAGCATGTTTCTTTTCTTTTCGGTCCTTCTCGTCCAGCTTCAAGGAGAGCTTGCTTTTTACTTTTTGCAGTTTTCCCGCGGAGGTATGCCATGCGGTGCGTGCGACTGCGGTGGGTGGCAGCAAAGGCTCCCGCCGCAACAGCGGCGAAAGGAGCTTAGACCCTAGCGAGTTCAGCGCAGGCGGCAATTACATTCTTGTTCTTCCAGTGATTTCCATAGCTTAGACTTCCATTCTTTAGTCATGTGGAAAGACAAGACAACGACAACAATCCATTCTTTGCTGAAGTTGCCTGCCGCAACACTTCAGTGCCATATTTTCAAAATCAACAATTATCAGAAGTATCTACAGACCTCAATGACCTCAGCTCGCTTTTGTGGTCGATCCTGCTAGCAGGCGAGCGCGGTGAACGCGAGGGTTCGCTCCTGAGACCGCACAAGCCCTTCGCATCGCACAAGATCCTGGCAGAGACTTGGTGCAGAGATGGACGCCTTGGATTGGAAACTTTGGGTTTTCTTAGCTCGTTGTTCAACATCTCGTTGGGTTTGTCGTGAAACGTTCAAGCAGTCCAACTAATGACTCAAGGTTGCTGGCCTATAAGGTGCAGCCAAATAAATTTGTACACGTTCTACCCTTTGGTCATGTTTGGCTCCATTGCATGATACTCGGGCCTGCTTCTGAGGAGCTAGAGGAGGAGGAGGAGATCAAGCCTGTGTGTGATACTGAGTGATTTGGATGGGGTGATGTGGGGATTTGGGTAGTTGGGGATAGTGACATCATCCATCTTCAGTTAGACAGATGATTGGGTCAGTGGGTCCCTTTGCTGCTGGCTACGTAGCTACAACCGGCAATCCTCCCGCACTCTGATTGAACACGTATAATTATCTCTCCAGACAATCCCATAAGCCTCACATAAAAGCCTGACACGCTCCAGAATCTCAGTGATTGGCTTGGAAAAAACAAACAGTGTTAACTGAGCCAAACAAGCGCCTTCCCTGTACGCCTCTATGCTCCATGCCGGATGCCCCTCGTTCAGGCGCCGTGACGACAGGGTCCACCCGGTGCAGGTTCAGGTTCCTCAGGCCACGGCAAATCACGAGTGAGGAGTGGTGGAAACTATCGAGTCTGCAGCAGTTGACTTAGAAAGCACCAATGGTGTGAGTGGAATTCACTCTTAGGATTCTGCAGATTCCCAGCAACTTTTCACTTGGCTAATCCGTCGGTTGAGGCCACTGGCCATTTTCGCTCTGATTATTTGGTTTTGACTCCAGAGACAGCTCTAGCCAGAAGCTACTAGGGTGGAGGCCGTCGCTATTAGGTTGGGGGGCCATTACTGACTACTATACTATAGCAACATATTATAGTAACAAGAAGCTACTAGTAACAAGTGCCACGCTAGTAGTAACAGGTGCCATACTAGTAGTAACAAGAAGCTAGTAGTAACAAGTGCCTTACTAGTAGTAACAAGTGCCTTACTAGTAGTAACAAGAAGCTAGTAGTAACAAGTGCCTTACTAGTAGTAACAAG